TTATTGCTCGATCCTCCTTTGTAATCAATGCCGAACAAGGCAAAAGTGTCCACCCAAAGCACGGAACGCTCTCGTGTCGATCGACTTTGGTATATACATATATGTACAGGATATTCCAGCAACTCTGTCCACTTGAAATTTCTCCGGTATTTGAAGTAATAAGAGGTAACGTTGTTTAAGCACGAAAGTTGCACGGCTTCGTCGAGACTCGATAATATTCACGGCGAGAGTTTCTCCATTGACGAAGGTCAGATGTACTTTTTTCTTAACCAACTGTTCACTTTTACACGATGAAATTTGAGAGAACGAGGAATTCTTGGAACAAAAGTAATGGGATTGGTAAAGAAGAACGAAACTTCGGTAAGTGAAGGGTTGCTCGAAATCAGGGGCCTAAGTTCCGTACGTTCGAAGCTCTGTAACTGAAAAACTAAGCCAGTTTTGGCATAAGTTTGTCCGACGAAAAACGTTCATTACGTTGTTCTCCACTACCCTCGGCCAGGTCGAACTATAATTTCGAAACACCTTGTACACGTGTGCTTGATCAGCGGTGTGGTGGTTACGTTGGTGGTGGTTGGTTTACTGTAATATTAGAAGTAGACGATTTATTTGATGCTATCTCGCGTTCCGTGACACGATGTAATGGAAAATAAAGTAGAATTTTGATGGATGCAATCATGCATTATGCAGAGCACGGTAGACTTTCAAGATATGCAATCTCGAAAATAACTATTTTGTCAAACTTTTTATACTTATTAAAGCTGACGTCGCTTAACTTCTCAACCTCTAACAATATTCACAAGCTGTTCACAGTTTCATCTTCGTTCGATAACGGTACACTTCTAATGTTTCCTCTACGCGAAATAAAATTGTTTTCGCTTCTCTACGATGCATCTCGTACGAACCCAAGTACCTCACCTTCCTTTATAACTAAACGCAACAAAGAACACAGCTACGGTGAAATATAAATATGCAGAACGAATACACGCTCGCTGAAAGAAGAAAAACGAAGTAAATCGTGACGCAAGAGTTACAAAAGAGTCGGAAGGCAGAAAATAAAAATAATAACAATAATAATACACGCGATGAGTTAACGTCGCAGCGGGGAGTGAAAAAAGAATCGATCGCAGCTCCTTAAGGTTAAAAAGTCACGTGCATTCTCACGGCACGTTTCCACGCCCTTATTTCTGCATTTTACGAACTGTATATAAACCGCGCGCAGCATCGAAAACCAATGCCACCCTAAAATTCCGACTGCGTTACAAGCCACACGTTCGCGGTGAATCCAAACACCGAGCTATACACCCCAGATCTTGAGGCAGGAGCATCATGTGTCGCATCCCCGTTCTCAGCAGTGGCACACTCTCTGCGGTAAAAAGAGGCCAATAAAACTTCCCCATATACTGCTCGTTTTATCCTTACCGTTCTTTTACATACGCGCGGCAACGAAAGAACCAAAAGAGAACCAACGAAGAAGAGAGAAGAGCAAAAGTCAAAAAGGACATTCTCAAAAAATCCTTCCTCGAAAAATCGATCGATCCCACCCCTTCTTGTCATCTGGTTTCGAACAACAACAACGAAAAGGAGAAAAAAATTACCAACTCGACGGGTCGATAATCGAGGCAAGGTTACGGGCATCGACAAAGAGATCCCACAAAGAACGCACGCGTTGTATATCCGGGATACGAAATCGACGGCAGAAAAAAGGTGGAAAAACAGCGAGGGAGGAGAGAGAAAGAAGCGAGAAAAAAAAGGAGGCAGAACGAACGTGGAAAAAAAAAGAGGTTTCGTCGAATCGAGCATCCACAAAGATAGGCGTTCACGAGCAATTGAATCGAAAGGTTTTCGAACCGGGGATACCTGTCGGTTTGCGTTTCGGGATACGCAGGTGTAGCACGCGCAGACGCGCAGTTTTCCACTGCGTATCGAATGTTTATACCGCAAGCAGAGCAGGGAGAGAGAGGGAGAGGGCTTTCCGATTCAGGATCACGCGGTCGAAAAGAAGTGAGGGCATCCGCAACGATTCCAATTACTCTGCTTCAACGGACACACGCAGAGAAGCGGATTTTCTTACGTGGGTGCGCGCGCGGACACACACGTCCTTTTCCCCCTTTTGTCGCCGTCATATTTCGTCTTTGTGACGTAAACCGACGCTGCTTGCCCGATACACACGCTGAATGAACCTCAGCCAGCCACGCTCCAGCAGCCGCCGGTGCTTGAAATGCAAAGTTCAAGCTTGAACGTCGGGAGAGCTTCTTTTATTAGACGGTACACGGCAGTATACCGATGACGGTAAACAATGGATATAAATTTTAGGGAAATGCGGTGATTGTACGTGGAGAATGGAGAAAGAATTTCCGCGGCATCGTTTTGCATTGTCTTTAAATTGTCAATTTTCTCGTTTGGAAATTCGAGTTCGGAGTTGTTCAAATGTATGATAACTCTATCTTCGCGTTCCTACGAGTGTAAATGTAAGCAATTTTACGTTCAACGAGAAATTTTTTGGTAGATAAGTTAACGCGTTTTGAATGTCGGTTGTTTGAGCGACGAGTTAATTCGTAGATCGTACCAAAGTTTCGGGGTCAGGTGTCATTTTCTACTTTTAATTAACTTGTGTCGCACGAAATTGCTCCACTTGTAATTGGGTTTTTTCAATTCGACAAAAATTTGCGATCAAATTTCAGTCAGCGTTTATTTAAAAAGCAAAATCGAGAGGAGATAACAACCCCAATTTACACTTGTTTACTTCGTTTAGAAAACCTATCCAGCTCGATGAAGATCGCTGCGAGAATAATCGCGGGGGTAAAAAAAGGAAAACGAATGTCAAGTCCCTAAAAAATTCTACCTCAATTCGAAAATAGACCAGGAAAGCTAACGCAAAAAATCGAAAGAATAATCAGCGCGTATTTTCAAAGGGTCTAATCAGGCACGAAAAGAAGGTCGTATAATTCACAGATCACGGTAGCAGCCCGTACGAAACAAAAAAAAAGAAAAGGAAAAAAAAACGAGAAAGGTACAATTCTCAGTGTCGCAAATTAAGCACACACCCATCGATTATTACAAAAAACCGCGCAACTGCATGAGGAAAATCAAAGCGGGCGGAGGGCTGCTCCCTAGGCGGGATAAATAATCGAAATGGAGCATAGTTAAAAATACGTCGGAGGAAGGTTCGCGGAGGAGAAACGGGGCGGTGGAAAATCGGATCAGTGGTACAAAATGAAAACGAGCGGACACCTCCGGACCGCGGGCTAAACATCCGCGATTCGTGGCTGGTGGCCGGAGAAGAACGCGGCAAGTAACGAAAAAAAAAAAAAAGGGAGAAACAAAAGAGAAGGAGAAGAGAAGGGTGACGGCGGCGGAAGGGAGGAGGAGGAAAAGAAAAGAGACTAAAACCATTCTCGTTGTCGTCCATTACGAAGCCTTGAAACAGCGAATCAAAGAAACCACGGGGAAATTCCAACGAGAGCAAAACGCGATATCGCGGGAAAGGAGCTTACAGCGAAATAGGCAGTCAGAAAAGTAGTCGACGGAGGTGGAAAGCATCCTTGGTGGTTTCGAAGCAGCCAGGTACGGGAGGGCTAATCAGGGGCGAAAGAGGCAGGCAGCCAGGCAGGCAGGCAAGCAGGCGAGCAAGCAGGGAGGCAGGTAGGCAGATAGGCAGGGAAGCAGGCAGGAAGAGAGGAAGGCAGAGCGCTTGCGCGCTGATACGGCCGGGCTAGACGCGAGAGCCGCCACTCCCGAGCGCGTAGCGGTGTAGCGCGGGTGCTGACCGAGTGTCCCCGTGAGAAGAGCGAGAGAGAGTGCGAGAGCGAGCGAGCGAGCGAGCGAGAGTGCGAGAGCGTACGAGAGAGCGAGGCGAGTGGAGAAGAGAGAAGAATGTCCATCGTCGAAGGAAGGATCCCTAGGAAGCGGAGCCTGCGGCAGGACATCTTCTCAGGCCAGGCGGCTCCGTGCTTCTAGGACGAACGAAACGGGTTACACGAGAGGTTTTCTCCTCTTCGAGAAAGAAGATCTCGCCGCTTGTCTCCCTCCTCCGCCGACACACTTTTACTCGTTACAATCAACATTCCCCTTCGACGTGTTCCCTTGTGCTCGTCCCCTGGAAACGATCCTGATCCCGATCACTATCCCAGGTGTGAAACGCGATACAGAGGGGGGAACAACGGGGCTCGCCTCGGCGAAACAGACACACACGCAACGACGGAGAAGAGAAACACCAGGAGAGAGAAGGAGAGAAGAACACTCGAGAAAGCAGTGCATCGAAGAAGCTCGCGCTTCGGCTCTTGTGTGCTTTGTGAACCTGTCACGAATCTCTGATCAGCCCAGTGAACGTGCGAATAATATTTCGTTGAGGATCGACTGGAGAGAGAGAGAGAGAGAGATTGTGTATTGTACATTAAAGCAGTGAGCCAGGAAGATAATAAACGAACGCTGGTGACACGAGAGAAACTAGATAATCGCTACCCCCTGTACTCTGTGTGAAGCTTCGAGCTAAAAGAAGAACGAGAGACAGATTATTACAAAGTACGTATATCGGAAAGGAAGAGTAAGAGAAGGAGTAGTAGGAGGAGGTGGAGGAGGAATAGTAGGAGGAGAAAGGAAGAAGCATCAGGAGATCTCGTTGTGATCTCGTTGTCGCGGTGTGACAAAAGCGGAGAGGCTAGCCTCTCTCCGACGCGCGAGGGCTCGAGGAGGACCGGTCTCTCGAGGGCTCGGTCGTGTGAGGTGATTCGATTTCGAGCAGCGATACACAGTGCTTTCCTTCCGAGGAAACGTCGAACCGCGAGTGTGTCAGTGAAGCCAAGACATCCGGGGGTGAAAAATTCAAGTAGCAGGCTGACTCTCTACTCTAGGCAGACCAGCAGGCTGAAGAACCGTGAACCAGAGAGAGGAAAAGAGTACGAGGAAGCGGAGAGAGCGAACAGCGGACGGAGA